TATAGGTATATACATACATATTTCCTATTAATATATACATATATATATGTATATAATTAAATATTTATATATATATATCCGTATTCACTATAGATTCCCCATTTCTGGTGGATTTTCCATTGGGAAAATAAATTAAAAATCACCGACCAAACATGGCGCCATGTTCCCTAGATAATTCCTAGATTCCCCAGATTGGCGATGAACTCAGCATGGGAGATCTGATCTGTAAGGAGGCTAAAGTGGCTAAAGCAACGCAGGTGGCACTGAGGAATCGAAGTACAACAAGATTTATCTTTAGGAGGACTTTGTGTTGGTTCCCAATAATAAACCATGGCGAACCAACAATCTTTACAATATGTTGTACATAAAAACCATGGTTATAATAATTATCGAAGTGTATATAGCGTATAATATGATAATGGGAACACTATTGGGGATCCGCAAAAAAACCATGCTTGAAAAAAAACACATTTTCATGTAAATATATAATATCATAATATTGTATCGGTCTTAGAGGGTCTCTGACATTTCCGTTCAGTAGCCTGTTTTTGCTGGATAATGGAGGTACCGTGGTAGCATTCCCATGGATTGTGCTGGAGAACGATCTGATTTTCTGGTGGATTTCCCATATTGTCATTGAGCTTGCTTATCAGAAGGTACCCTCTGGTAAACGTTTACATAGCTGTTGAAAATCACCACTTTTAGTGGGTAAATCAACTATAAATGGACCATTTTCAATAGCTATGTTAGTCATTACCAGAGGGTATATAAAATTGCACCAGAAATACGGAAAGACAGGACAGCCCCTCAGGCTATCATGCTGTAGGCCGGGCCTCTCCATCAAACAACTCATCGTTCAAACTCAAGACAGCATCCAAGGAATTCGAACGCCTTCGAAGGGATCATGATGGTCAAACAGGGATGGGTCACGCCATTTACGCCCCAGAGGTTTCAGGATTCATGTTTATCAAGCATCTAATCATACAAAGTGGGGCCCCCTAGGTAGCTAAGTTGGTTTATAACTCCAATAACTATGGTTTGTGGTACCTATAACTATAGTTAATGGGGCTTATAAACCATCTTATAACTGGGGGGGCCCACATTGTAGGGGTATCCAAATTTGACCTGCCTATACCCAAATGGCAAAAAAATCACCAGGAAATCGGTTTGTTTGCTTCACCAATGCCGCTGACTGGAAATGCGGTGTACACCAATTATGAGGTATCACCAATGCAAGTTCTAAAAACAATTCACACGAACACAAAAAAAACCATGCATATAAAAAAAATGAGAAAATGACATAATATATATAATTATGCAGCTGGAGTGGATGCAGGGAGCGTAGGGCTCAATGTTCAAAAAGGGTTGTGCAAATGAAGAAACACTGGTTACCAGTCAAATCCAAGTCCAACCCAATCGCTCAACCAAGTGCGCAGCCGCACTGCAGTCTTTTCCAAGGATCACGCAAGATCCGTCGCATCCATGGCTTAGGTGAAGCCGCAGGTAACAAAGGGGCCCCTTCCTTAGGCCGGAACGTCAGCAGACGAACAACCTGACAGCCGGGAGTGAAAAGTTGCAAATTATTATGTTTATGTTTAATTTGGTAACACAACTATATAGAAAAAAAACCATGCATAATATAAACTAGTAACTAGGTGGAAAATTTGGGAATGGATCAAGATTTGACCCTGAATGATTTCCTGGTTTTTGCGCATGGGCAGCATACTCTCCCCCGTGAGGAGATGAAATGTGACAAAGATCCAAAGATGAGCTACGCTAAATCGAACATGGAAGCCATGTTAGATGGGGGTCTGAAGCGATGTGGCAATGGTTTTCTATTCCATGTTCCAATTGGGTGATTTTTCACCACTTTAGGGTTCAAAAAAGAGACGTGCTACTCCCAGCTACCTCCAAATATAATGTAGGGTGAAGCGACGACCGACCTTTGGCTTGAGTCGGGACCTTGAAAGGTACCGTACCTTCTGAGCTGTGGATTCAACAGCCCAAAATCGGCATTGCAAGGACGGATCACCACCCTCAATCTTCCACCAGGCTCTACGTCAAATTCTGGCCAAGGGAATGGATGGCTGTTTTTATAGCGAAAATGATGATTCAGCAATGGATGGAATGTGGCGATATATTTTTCAGACCTTCCTATTTGTATCTATTTGGAGGTTTCCTGAAATGGGGCTACCCCCAAATCATCCATTTATAGATGGATTTCCCTTATAAACCATCCATTTTGGGGGTACCACCATGTATGGAAACCCCCATTCTGATTTGCACACCCTTTGTTTTCCAATGATGAGATGATGACATGTCTTCGTTCCTCGGCGACCCCGACTCATGAGAAAGAAAACCACATGACCAATGCAACAGGAAAAAACATGGAAAATCATGGAAAACTCATGCAAATACCAGGTCTTTTCTTCCACGGAAACATCTTTTACACAGAGTCGGATCACAGTCGCCAGGGATCCCGCGACTGGATCCCTGGCTTAGGCAAAAAACGACCAAACACAGAACAAGGCACTAGAACTTGGACGTGCATCCCACTTATATAGGATCAGTGGTTTATAAGATTTTATAATCCAAAAAAAACCCAAAGGGGCTCAAGAGTTGGAAAAAAGGACGTGTCCCCAAGTGGATCAAGGGAGGCTGCCGAACCCCTTTTTGCATGTGAGCCGCTCAGTCGCCAAAATGGGGTTTGTCGGGGAAAACTTCGTTTTGCTCAAGCGCCTGAAACCTAAGAATTGGTGGTGGGAGGTCAGAAATAGTCGCCACGGATGTTGAATCTCAAAACAATTACGGTACCATTCCGTATTTTCACAAACACTTAGAAAAAAACATCCAGATAAAAAAACAGATATACATCCCAAAAATATACAAGATATACATCCCAAAAATATATATCCAAGATATAAATCCCAAAAACAGCCAGGTTCTGGTGGCAACAGCCGGGCTGATCTCCGGAGGGTTTCCCCGCCTGAGGTGTGTGGGAAGCTCCGGGGAGTCAAAGATCATGGCCTGGTTGGTCAGTCTATCCCCTAAAGACATGGAAAAGCAACGGTTTCTCTAGGACCCTACTTGGTGGTTCATCCCACTTAGTAAGTGGGTTATAACCCCATTATAAGTGGATTAACCCTACTTATCCCATTTATAACTGGGGTTATAACCCACTTACGATTCGTGGGATGAGCCACCAAGTAGGAAAAACATCTAGAAATGGTGCTTTTTCCACATCTTCTTGTATGTTTATCCCACAGCAACTCACCAAAAAGACATCCGGTCCTTCAGGGTTGCTCCAGAGGAAAAAGGCTCAGTTCAACTGGAGCCGTCAAAATAAAACGTGTTTCGAACTCTGGTGATTGATCTTATATGTATATATGTGTAATGTTGGGCATGGTAATATAGGATAACCACATAGAAAATGTGTATATGTGTATGTGTATATATATATGTATATGTATGTATATGTATATATGTAATATAGATTGACAATGCAATACTGACTATATTTGAACTATGATAAACAAAATTGAATACATCAATATTGTGAGGAGCTTCCCGATATGATTGATCCATGTTGATATCAATGATGATTTAGACAAGGTTATATATATATAGATTATTCTTACAATCCCAGAAGTGGCCTAAGCCTGCTTATCCGATTTTTTTCGCACACCTTTTTTTCTGCACTTGGTGGATAAAGCGCCAAGTTCTCAAAAGGAGCGCAGAAGGCTTTTGTCACCAAACTTTTGGGGTGCAGAATTGGGCTTCTTCTGGAAAAAACTATGTGATTCATAGCTATTGAAAATGGCCCAGTCGAAATAGTTGATTTACCCATTAAAAATGGTGATGGAATATGATTTTCCATAGTTTGTTGTTAGTTTTTGAAGCCCCTGTTGAACTTTGGATAGGCTCCACAAAACTGCCCTGTTGAACCAGATATCCACTGGAACTGCCCCAAGTCAGTTCCAAAAGACAGTGCAATGATGGATGCTGACGGCTCATCAGGAATCGTTGCTTAGCAGGGCAATGTCCAATAGTTGGGGTGAACAGGCCGAGTAACTAGCGGTAAACGTTTACAGTTTGCTAACATGGCCATAGAAATCCTTGATTTACCCATTAAACATATTGAACAAATGGCGATTTCCCATTGTTTTTGTACGTTTACCAGAGGGTTAACCCACGAATCCAATTCTTGGGTAGTCGCAAACGAGGTGCCGGCCACACTGAAAAGAATGCAAAGGAATGGTCACAAACAATCCATCAAGTTTGGGGGCTGATAAAGGACCACACATCTTATGACATAAACACATAGATATAATGAATACATATACATATTAGATATTGGATATTAAACATTGGATATTAGCTATAGATATAATTATAGATCTATACCTACAGATGTTAGATATAGATATAGCTATATAATTCTATAATATATACATACATTTGCTAAATTCATCGAAATCATAAACTTGGACTTGTCAAAACTAAAATGGAACTATCTGTACTGTATATATATGTCATATTAAATATAATGGCATATTTGTGTAAGCATTTGTGTATAAATCTTATACGACCGTTTCATCCCATCTCAATTTTCTTGAGTTTCCTGCTCTGATCGCAGTTTATTCAAAACAAGCCATCAAGCAGATCTGAACATCCTTTAGATGTTGACCATCCGTGGGAAATGTCTTTCAGGTTGCTCAACTACTGTCTCAGTTTTTCCGGAGAATCAACTCATTTCATTGATTCCAGTTGCGAAGGGACACACCATGTTTGGCCACAGGGCGCTTTGAGACAATATACCCAGCAAGAGTTTGAGGATTAGTGTCCAAGCGACGTTGCAGGCCGGAGGGATCCGGAGGGATAAAGGTATCATGCTTCAAAAGCAGACCGAACCATAAATAAATTTATTTGGAGGTTTCCAATCCATGGGGGTACCCCTCTATCATCCATTTATAGATGGATTTTCAATTATAAACCATCCAGCGAACTTGGGGCACCTCCCAATTTTAGGAAATCTCAATTTTGGCATCTTTGATATGTTTGATATCTCTGCAACTGGCAGTCGCTGATGTCGATGGCGACATGACATGACCAAAAAAAAGGTCTAAATTTTCTTTGTTTCCAAGAACTTTTTTGAGCCCAACTTTGGGGCGTCGGATTATTTCGGATTCATGGGATCAAAACATCATCAAACATCATCAGCCACGGATCTCAGTCATTTTGAGTCCTGATCAAACTTCAGCCACCTTGTCATCGTCCTCATTTTGCACCATGCCTTTGATTCTTCGCTCTCCACAACATCCCACCGTAGTAATGGTCACCGGGTTCCCCACCATCTGCCAAGTCGCTGCCATCGATGTCGTCTGGGTCGCAGTGTGGGTGACCTGTGGCCTGATTGGGATGATGATCCACCAATCAATGGGAATTTCAGGATCCTAAAATGGAGGTACTGTACCATATAGGCCTTACATAGGCCTTATCAAAGGAAGTTTAGGGGGAGAAACTTCCGTGTTACGGACTTTTAGAATGTCAGGGAAAGAGTTAGTCAAAGAAAGAGTTAGTGAGGGAAAGAGTTAGTCAAGAGTTAGTCAAAGTCAAAGAAACAGTTAGTCAGGGAAAGAGTTAGTCAAAGAAAGAGTTAGTGAGGGAAAGAGTTAGTCAGTTAGTCAGAAAGAGTTAGTCAAAGAAAGAGTTAGTCAGGGAAAGAGTTAGTCAAAGAAAGAGTTAGTCAGGGAAAGAGTTAGTCAAAGAAAGAGTTTAGTCAAAGAAAGAGTTAGTCAAAGAAACAGTTAGTCAGGGAAAGAGTTAGTCAAAGAAAGAGTTAGTGAGGGAAAGAGTTAGCAAAGAAACAGTTAGTCAAAGAAAGAGTTGTCAAAGAAACAGTTAGTCAGGGAAAGAGTTAGTCAAAGAAAGAGTTAGTCAAAGAAAGAGTTAGTCAGGGGAAGAGTTAGTCAAAGAAAGAGTTAGTCAAAGAAAGAGTTAGTCAAAGAAACAGTTAGTCAGAAAGAGTTAGTCAAAGAAAGAGTTAGTCAAAGAAACAGTTAGTCAGGAAAGAGTTAGTCAAAGAAAGCGTTAGTCAAAGAAACAGTTAGTCAGGGAAAGAGTTAGTCAAAGAAAGAGTTAGTCAAAGAAAAAGTTAGTCAAAGAAAGAGTTAGTGAGGGAAAGAGTTAGTCAAAGAAAGAGTTAGTCAAAGAAAGAGTTAGTCAAAGAAAGAGTTAGCAAAGAAAGAGTTAGTCAGGGAAAGAGTTAGTCAAAGAAAGAGTTAGTGAGGGAAAGAGTTAGTCAAAGAAAGAGTTAGTGAGGGAAAGAGTTAGTCAAAGAAAGAGTTAGTGAGGGAAAGAGTTAGTCAAAGAAAGAGTTAGTCAGGATATATGAGGTAGTCAAAGAAAGAGTTAGTCAGGATATATGAGGTAGTCAAAGAAAGAGTTCGCAAAGAAAGAGTTAGTCGAAGAAAGAGCAAAGAAAGAGTTCGTTAGGGAACGAGTTAGTCAAAGAAATTGTTCCCGCAATGTAAATGGGATTGCAAGTGGTGCTGGTGGATGAGTTGCCGATGGAGTTTTGAAGGAAGTCTCGCACGAAATGCGTTTTTGAGAGATAGCAGATGCACGAAAGCCTATGTTTTTCCATACAAAGTTCGTCCCCGAACCTCGATGATCTACCTCTGCGGTGCGACGGGTGCGAGACGGTCTCGTGTGTGGTCGGATCATGCTCGGATCATGGGCGGATCATGCTCGGATCGGTTCCGCATTGTAAATGGGTTTCACCTGTTTTTCGTGCATGTGCGGTCGACAGAATTCCATTGTGATTTGCAACTGTAGGATCGTTCCCGCAATGTAAATGGGATTGCAAGTGGTGCTGGTGGATGAGTTGCTGATGGAATTCCATTGTGATTTGCAACTCTAGGATCGTTCCCGCAATGTAAATGGGATTGCAAGTGGTTCTGGTGGATGAGTTGCCGATGGAGTTTTGAAGGAAGTCTCGCACGAAATGCGTTTTTGAGAGATAGCAGATGCACGAAACCCTATGTTTTTCCATACAAAGTCCGTCCCCGAACCTCGATGATCTACCTCTGCGGTGCGACGGGGGCGAGACGGTCTCGTGTGTGGTCGAATCATTCTCGGATCATGGTCGGATCATGGTCGGATCGGTTCCGCATTGTAAATGGGGTTTCAAGTGTTTTTCGTGCACGTGCGGTCGACAGAATTCCATTGTGATTTGCAACTGTAGGATCGTTCCCGCAATGTAAATGGGATTGCAAGTGGTGCTGGTGGATGAGTTGCCGATGGAATTCCGTTGTGATTTGCAACTCTAGGATCGTTCCCTCACTGTAAATGGGATTGCAAGTGGTGCTGGTGGAGGAGTTGCCGATGGAGTTTTGGAGGAAGTCTCGCACGAAATGCGTTTTTGAGAGATAGCAAATGCACGAAAGCCTATGTTTTTCCATACAAAGTGCGTCCACGAACGTCGATGATCTACCTCTGCTGTGCGACGGGTGCGAGGCGGTCTCGTGTGTGGTCGGATCATGTTCGGATATTCTCGGATCGGTCTCGGATCGGTTCCGCATTGTAAATGGGGTGTCAACAGTTTTTCGTGCATGTGTGGTCGACAGAATTCCATTGTGATTTGCAACTGTAGGATCGTTCCCGCATTGTAAATGGGGTTGCAAGTGGTGCTGGTGGATGAGTTGCCGATGGAGTTTTGGAGGAAGTCTCGCACGAAATGCGTCTTTGAGAGATAGCAGATGCAGGAAACCCTATGTTTTTCCATACAAAGTCCGTCCCCGAACCTCGATGATCTACCTCTGCGGCGGAAGTGATTTGTCAGCAGATTTTCTCCATTTTGGTGCTAGTGATTTTCCTTCTAAAAATCCTTTTAAAAAGTGCTTCAAAATCGTCTTTTTTCGCTCTGGCGTCGAGATCCGGTTTTGGAGCTACAATTTCCGACGCCGTTGTGCGTAGTTCTATTGTGTTTTGCAACTCAGTCTCTGCAGATCGCATTGTAATGGCTGCGTCAAGGTTGCTTCTTGCCACGGCTGCATGCGTAATACTATTGTCTTTTGCAGCTGGACTTCGTAAATCGTATTGGAGTGGCTGCATGAAGGCTGCGACAGTGATTTGTCAGCAGATTTTCTCCACTTTGGCGCTAGTGATTTTCCTTCTAAAAATCCTTTTAAAAAGTGCTTCAAAATCGTCTTTTTTTTCGCTCTGGCGTCGAGATCCGGTTTTGGAGCTACAATTTCCGACGCCGTTGCGCGTAGTTCTAGTGTGTTTTGCAACTCAGTCTCTGCAGATCGCATTGTAATGGCTGCGTCAAGGTTGCTTCGTGCTGTGGCTGCATTCGTAATACTATTGTCTTTTGCAGCTGGACTTCGTAAATCGTATTGGAGTGGCTGCATGAAGGCTGCGACAGTGATTTGTCAGCAGATTTTATCCATTTTGGCGCCAGTGATTTTCTTTTAAAAAATTCTTTTGAAAAGTGCTTCAAAATCGTCTTTTTTTCGCTTTGGCGTCGAGACCCGGTTTTGGAGCTACAATTTCCGACCCAGTTGCGCGTAGTTCTATTGTGTTTAGCAACTCAGTCTTTGCAGATCGCATTGTAATGGCTGCGTCAAGGTTGCTTGGTGCCGCGGCTGCATGCGCAATACTATTGTCTTTTGCAACTGGACTTCGTAAATCGTATTGGAGTAGGTGCATCAAGGGTTCGACAGTGATTAGTAGTAGTGCTGGGAATTGATTAATGAAAGCTTAATAGATGACATATGAGAAGGGACGAAATGAGAAGAGATGAGCTGGGATAAGGTGAGAAGAGCTCAGATGAGATGAACTGTGGAGTGTGAAGAGTGTAGTGTGAAATGTGGGGCGTGAAGAGTGCAGTGTGAAGTTTGGAGTGTGAAGGAAGCAGTGAGAAGTAAGAAGTGTGAAGTGTGGACTGTGAAGTGTGGAGTGTGAAGTTTGGAGTGCAAAGAGTGCAGTGTGAAGAGTGCAGTGTGAAGTGTACAGTGTGAAGGAAGCAGTGGGAAGTGAGAGGTGTGAAGTGTGGAGTGTGAAGTTTAAGTTTGGAGTGCGAAGAGTGAGTGTGAAGTGTGAAGTGTGAAGTGTGAGGTTTGGAGTGTGAAGGAAGCAGTGAGAAGTGTGAAGTGTGAAGTGTGGACTGTGAAGTGTGGAGTGTGAAGTGCGAAGTGAGAAGTGTGAAGTTTGGAGTGTGAAGGAAGCAGTGAGAAGTGAGAAGTGAGTGTGAAGTGTGGACTGTGAAGCGGGAAGTGTGAAGTGTGGAGTGTGAAGTGCGAAGTGTGAAGTTTGGAGTGTGAAGTTTGGAGTGTGAAGGAAGCAGTGAGAAGTGAGAAGTGTGAAGTGTGAGTGAAGTGTGGAGTGTGAAGTGCGAAGTGAGAAGTGTGAAGTTTGGAGTGTGAAGTTTGGAGTGGGAAGGAAGCAGTGAGAAGTGAGAAGTGTGAAGTGTGGACTGTGAAGTGTGAAGTGTGAAGTGTGGAGTGTGAAGTTTGAAGTTTGGAGTGCGAAGAGTGCAGTGTGAAGTGTGGAGTGTGGAGTGTGAAGACTTTGCTTCGTCTCTCGCTGAAAAAAAAGCCGCTTGTCGAGGGAAGGACACGGTCGGGACAGGCTGGCGTCGAACTATAGGTCATTTATGTTTGGGAAACTTCCGCCGCCGGCTTGCCCGGGTCTATGTTATATGGTAGGTACCTCCAATCAATCGGTTCCTGAAATGGCCATTGAACCAAAGAAGACATCAAAATGCTCCAATCATCTTTGGTGGATCATCTTTGGATGGTTTATCCACAGAATTTGGTGGATGATCCACCAAAGAAGCAAAGATTTCTGGATGGTTTATCGCAGTGTTCGGATCTTTTGCGAACCATCCAGAAATCTGGAGGAATATAGCCAACTTGATGGACCCGAAAAAGTTAGGAATTGGCTGCTTTTTTGGTAGCAGTGAGGGCCACATTCGGTTATGATCATCGCCATTGAACCACTTATATAGCACCCTCTGGTAAACAAACATAGCTATTGAAAATGGCAATTTATAGTGGATTTACCGATTAAACATGGTGATTTTCCATAGCTATGTTAGTTACCAGAGGGTATGTACAGTGACAATGTAGAACCCCCCATCTTGAATGTTTACTCTCAACCACCATGCAGATGGATTTCTCCAGCCTGGGCGTTGCGGCCTTCATATCCTTCATCCATCTCCACTTCATGAAACCGGAGGGGATAGCTAGCAACAGGAGTGCCATGCTAAGTGCCAAAAGCACATCTCGTAGAAAAAATCCCTGTACAGCCATCCAAGCTATTGAGACGCCAACGAAAAAGGGCACGTCCAAGAAATGGAAGGTCTTGCAGGGAGCGCAGGGGCATTCAACATCATCCAAATGGCAACAGCAGGGTGCGAAGCAGCGAGAACTGAGAGCCATCCACCACAACAGACTCACCTTTCAGAGACTGAGTGCTGGTTCGAACATGAAGGCGCACACAAAAAAAAGAACATGAAACTGAAACAAGCTTTGTGTGACACACTTGCGAAGCCGCAAGAAGAAAGCATATGAAAGCGAAACATGTTCCAATGCCAAGAACTGCTATGTCTTGGGCGCAAGTAGATCAAGCTGTGGGTAAAACAATAACAAACCATCCCGCAGTACCATTTTACAGGTGGTATAAACTTACCATTCCCAGTCATGGGTGGTAAAAATATGTAAACATGGCATTGTTTTACCCACATTTCCGGAAAATATGATCTTTTTAGCGGATGAGTGACAAGAAGTCCAACCCAGGAGGCCAAATCAGAGGCTGTTCCAGAGAATTTCCGTAGACCTTCCAGGTCGTCGTATGAGGATGGAGTTACCTTGAAGTTTACGAGAAGGATGAGCGCAATGCCATAGATCCCCAGCAAAATGAAGAGAATCCCCGTGGAAAGTGTCAAAAGTAACTGAAACTTCGAGCTTGACCCCAGGTTGTTGCAACACGCACAATTCGCCATGGCAAGGGGGCGACAATGAGATAGATCCACGCAGATTTGCGTGCTTTCGGTCTTCAAACAAATCACGGTTTTTCCAAACTGCGAAAAATCCTTCACATGTTTCCCAACACCCGACAATGGCTTACATGTGCAATCTCATGAAAACAGAATACAACAAATCTGCCACATGTCCAGCACATACTGCCTATGCCCGTGTGTCCAGTTTTGACAACTCACAGAGCAGCGGGAGTTTTCAAGGGTAAGCACTATCTCAACGCATGCGATCGAGTGCAATTTCCCTTGACTAGCTGCAGCATATCGATTGTTCGGCATGTTTTTTGAACACCCGTCATGTCAGAACGCCCAAAAAGCGTCAGTAGTATGAAATGGTTGAACATCGCTTTTATACTCAAAGTCGTTGTGAATTGGTAGGAAAAAGTCATCACTTCTGAGTTCCTCTGTTTGCAAAAGCATTTTGCACGGCATTGACAAATTCACATGTTGCAACTCTGGCACTGGAATCATAGGACGGGAAATCATAGTCTGAAATCTGCACAATGCATTGTTTTTCTTCTCTACATGTGTGTATATATATATAGGTATATATATATGTATGTGTATATATATATATATATCATACAGTATATGATTCTATATGTATTATACGCATATATTCTATATAGACACACTGTGTACAGGGTCTACGGATTGATATTTACAGAAGCCGTTGGGCGATGGCGCAAAACTGGGTACTAAGAGGCTGTAGGCTGTGTAAATTTGAGCCCATCAGTTTGTTGGCTGAATCCCCATTCTCCTTTTTTGTATAGTTTGTTGCCTATATTGAAACTGGTTGGTGGTTTCAACCCCTCTGAAAAATATTAGTCAATGGGAAGGATGACAACCCATATATTATGGAAAAATAAAACATGTTTGAAACCACCAACCAGTTCCCTTTAAACAACCATATTGCCCACAATGGTTCTTCCGATCTCATACTGTAACCATCTCATGTATGGGCAAGAATGGATGCATCCTTGTAATCATCTCCATTAACAAACATGATCTATCTCAATAAACAATGTTTCACCAATCCGAAGAAAAAAATCTGCCAAGAATTGGGATAGTTTCCCCAATCCAATTCCCATTCGAATCTGACATCTTGACGTGAAGTAGAGCTAATCCAGATAATGTGGGTCAAACAATAATAAACCACCCATTTTTGATGGTTTATACCATCCATGTATGGTGATTTTTGGGATGGTTTATCATTTATCCTTGTTTTAAAATTATCATTTATACATTATCATTTATGATAGGTTGGTATAACCACCCATTTTTGATGGTTTATCATGTACCATTTATACATTAATCCAGAATTCATTTGGATCAAACTGATCAAACCACTCGATCTCCGATCTCCTTGCCTCACGGACATCCTTCCTGCTGTCTGTAAAGTCCTGGTGTCGACTGGTTACGGACAACGACACGCAAAAAGCGCTGGAAGCGCTTTGCGTTTTTTGCGACCCATCCCGACTTGTCATCTCAGGCATCCCAAGTATGGTTGAAACATGTTGAACACAATCCTGGTTGGTGGTTGAGCCCTACCCCTCTGAAAAATATGACTTCGTCAGTTGGGAAGGATGACAACTCATATATGAAATGGAACATAACAAATGTTCCAAACCACCAACCAGCAATCATATTTCAGCCTGTTATTGGGAAATGATGGCACGAGGAAATCACCATGGCACCATGTAAGGTCATCTACATCCCAATTCCACTGCAATCCTCATATGTAACAACCCCCCTTTAGAGATGCTGAAAAGTCAGCGGGTCCTGCTAGAATGGTGGGGTTTTAGCAACTTTTCATTTTTTTTTCGGATCATGTATCAGGATGTAACCAGATAGACCCCCCACAAAGAGCAATTTCTGTGGCCATTTTGGTGTACTATCGATCAGCCGAGCAGTGGAAAAAGGATATCTACTTGGGGGTTCATCCCACTTCGTAAGTGGATAATACAAATATTGTAGCCCAGTAGCCAGTATAGCCCTAGTATCCCCTAGTTGTATATGGAGTATTCCCAGTTATATATGGGTGATGTTCACCACTGCCTGAAATGCACATCCGAATCCAAGTACGGCATCAAATCCAGGTGATCCAAGTTCTTTCTTCTTGTGGCCAATTCTTATGGGCAAATCGATGCTTCAAATTCAGCCAGGTGGGTTTATGGTGATCCCAATGGCTGAATCAAAGTCACAGCCGCGATTCAAAGCAGGGGAACCACTCGACTCTTGTATCTCATGTGCTTCAGGTGTGGTAGAGCATTTACTTCCATTTAATTGACTCTTTGGGTAAATGTTATGGATCTTCTGAGCAGATGGGTATCTTTCTGTGACTGAAATCATTGGTTCAATAACTAGTTTGGGGCTTGTCTGAAATTATGAAATTGCTATGATCTGGGATAATCCACCCAATTCGAAAGACGAAAATATCTCAAATTCATTGTCCCAGCCTAAAAAAACTCATTTTGGGGTACTGGGTACTGGTATAACCCAGTCTACCCCATGTTTGAAGAACATCTTGTTTTTCCTCTTTGGAACAACTAACTCACCAACTCCAAAAAACACTCCTCTGATCTGCGCAGCCTGGGTTGTTGTTTGGCTCACAGCGAAGTGGCACCAAGGCAAAGAAATTACTGTAATGTTATATAGTAAAGCAATGTCAGAACACCACCCAATTATGATAAAATTGGGGATGGTTTATCCTATTTCTCTACTCACATTACTATAAACCCCCAAAACCATCAAAAACCACATTTCAGCATCAGTCACCAGGGGCTTCAGAACGTATTTCCCTACAGGTTTTTCAGCCTGGTTTTTTACCAGGAGGGATTTTCGGAATCGAATTCCGAAATTTTGCACCACCTTGTAGTGTTGGTTATATCAAGTTATATCTATGGAAAAAACGATGGAAAAAACGATGGAAAGATCCACCATTTTCAATGGGAAAACTCACTATAAATGGCCATTTTCAATAGTTTACCCTCTGGTTATGACTAACAGTTTGCCATGGTTTTTCGATGGCCCTAATCGAAATAGATGGTTTACCGAACTTAATAGCATGGTGATTTTTCATGGCTATGTTAAATAGCCAGATGGTATATCTCATTGTATTACTCTCGTATCCCTGTCACTGTTGGTACTGGCTGGCAAAGGTCTTCAATAGGCTTGGTTAAATCACGTTAAATCCCACCCTGATACTGTTGGCGAAATATCCCCATTCATCATCCAATTATCATCCCATTATTGTTCCAATACTTGGGTGCTCATCCCACGAATCGTAAGTGGGTAGTTCACCCCAATTTTTTTTCAGTGGATTAACCCTACTTATCCCATGTCAATCACTGGGGTTATAACCCACTTACGATTCGTGGGATGAGCCACCAAGTATGGTTCCATAAAATGATGGACTCACAATTTCTGACCGGAAAACAAATCCACAAAATCCGGCGAACTACCGTTCACCACAGTCATGGCTTCGTCTAAGATACCCTCTGGTTATGACTAACATAGCCATGGAAAATGGCCCATTTATAGATGGTTTACCTATTAAAAAATGGTGATTTTCCATGGCTATGTTGAATAACCAGATGGTAAGGGCCTCCAACAATATAATGTGCCATGGTCGACTGGTCGACATAGATTTACTGCACTCATGGCGTTATTAACGTCATCCCAGCATGAAATTGGAAGAATCCAAACCACATTCACATGATCTGGAGGTTTCCGAAGTCATAGGGCTACCCCGAGTCATCAACCAAGGCCTTAGACCACTTTATTGAAACCTATGGTGACGACTGGGGATCTCTCTTAGGAAACCTCCACATCAAATTGCTGTGAATTGATCTGGGTAAATTAAATCTATTTCACCAACCTGAATTAAGGCCATTTGGGGATGATTCCCCGAATCCTAACTATGATTTCCAGGGTTCGGGAGAACAGTGAGGTCGCAACATAATTTAATAATTTACCCAGATTATTGTCATCCCGTTCCTATTTTTTGATTCAGGGGGATCCACGGGGATTCAACCACTGGGTGGGCCTGATGGCTGTTTTTTGGGATCAACTTGATATGAACTTGGGTATCACCAAAAAAATGACAATCCGCCAGGACGACTCAGGGTGGATCTCTCGAACGGGGTTGCTGTGACACCAAGAACGAGAACTTCTTGCAAGGGCTTTTCTTGCTTTGAGACACTAAGATTTTACATAATATATATAATATGATATAATATAATATAATATAATATAAAATATAATATAATATAAAATAAAATATAATATAATATATTATATATAATATATATATATATGTATGTATGTATATCAATTTTGTTTTGAAGCGGATTAGTAAGCTACTTGGTCTATCATGAGTGATCTTTAGAGCCCACCTGGATGACTACGGTGGTATAGCCATCGTGGCTCAAGTTGGGGCCCCCAGATCCATCGCGTCTTTATTCGGAAATCCCTAGCATTTTATCGCTAGTTTCCGGGTATCATGTGGGTAAAACAATACTGGTTGGTGGTTTCAACCTACCATTGTGGTTAATATACTGTTAATGATGATGGTTGATGATGATGGTTATTTATGGTTATTATATGGTTAATGATGGTTAATCATAATCTGGTTTGTGGTTGAGCCCTACCCCTCTGAAAAATGATGGAGTGAAAGTCAGTCGGGATGATGACATTCCCAACTGAATGGAAAAACAAAACATGTTCCAAACCACCAACCAGAATAATAAACCATCCCCCAGTCATCACAATAACTAGGTTGTACTAACAATTTCCGGTGGTTTATGGCACTGTTTTGCCCATATTAGCCTCTGGTAAATTAGCATAGCTATGGAAAATCACCATTTTTAATAGGTAAATCAACTATTAGGTATGTTAGTCATAACCAGAGGGTATATCCCATTAATATCCCATTAAATCACTATAAAATCCCATTAAATTACCAGAGGGTACCCCATTTTAA